TGATAGGCAGAGGCTTGTTTCCCAAGGACTAGGACTTGCCACGCTGTGGACCATAAAAAAATAGATGTTTCACACTTTAAAATAATTGCAGCAGAGAGCCAAACAGGAAGTGACCAGCATTCGAGTCTTGTTAGATGAGCACACCCCTTGAGTGTGGCTTATCATGCTGGCTAAACCCACTTGCCGTGTTCAGTGGGTTGTGCCCCAGGGAGCTCCAAACAGTCCCCATTCTTTTGGCTTTTAGGAAAACCCTTAAGACTTTTGTTCGCGCTGATCTGCATTCAGTGATTCTACTAGAGAAGAGAATAATGCTGAGGAAAGTTGAAGGGAGAGGCACTATGAGATGGCTCAGTTTCATAAAGGAACCCACAGACCTGAATATGGAAGAGCTGAACAGGGTTGCCATGAATAGGGTATTCATTCATAGGGTGATCATAAGTTGGAGATGACAGCAACAGATAACAAATCATATTATTTAAGAATAAATTAATTTGCTGTCACTATTTCAATGTTAATAGGTTTTTATTGCTATTTTAAAATTTGGGATATTAACGTGATCTGGTATTAATTATTGCGACTTGGCTTGGAAGGTTTACACCCTAAAAGAAAGGGAATACAGAAATCCAATAAATAACAACAACCACTGCCACAGAAGAAACCTGCCACATTTGGGCTGAGCACAAAGGTAAAATACATAGATGGACAAACTGGTCAAAAACACAACTTTGTGGATAAACATATCAAGTCACGAAAGAGGAGATGCAAGGAAACAAGCAGGCAATTTAGCTCACAGAAAAGTCTGTAGGCACAAGTGTTGTATGAGTGATTATCACGCTTTTAAATTAGAAGAATCACAGAACCATAAAATGGTAAAGTTGGAAGGGGTCAATAAGGAAATCAGGTTCAAGCCCCTGATCAATGCAAGGCTCCATGTTAAAGCATCCTTAATAGATGACTGTCCAGCTACACCCTGAATGCCTCCAGTGTGGAGGAACCAAATACCTCCCTAGGTAATTTGTTCCATTGCTGTATTGCTTTAACCAGTAGGATGTTTTCCCTGATGCTTAGCCAGGATCTGGCTTCCAGTGATTTAAGCCCATAATTTTGTTTCCTGCATTCTGCGATTATCAAGAGGAGATAATAGCTCTCCTCTGTGTGCTATTCGTTCCCTTCAGTCTTCTCTCAAGGCTAAGCATGCCCAGTTCTTTCAGTGTCTCCCCTCTGGGCTTTGTTTCCAGTCCCTTGGTCATTTTCATTGCTCTCCTCTGAACCTTCTCCAGTTTGCTTACACCTTTTTCAAACTGTGTTGTCCAGAACTGAATGCAGTACTCAAGATGAGACACAACCAGTGCTGCGTAGAGAGGCGCTGTACTTCATGTGACCGGGAAGCGATACTTCTACGAATGCAGCCCGAAATAGAGTTTGCCTTTTTTTAGCATAGTATTACACAAATGCAGAATTTTAATTTACTTTTCTAGTAATCTGCCCATCTTCCAAGAAACTAAAGCAAAGTACATGGGTGTTATTTGTAAATCAGAAGTATAACCATGTAGAACTTCAGGCCTAAGGGCTCATCTCAGGACCTAATCTAGTACTCTGGTAATTCCCCAAATGGTCACATGCCTTTGTCTGACCAGGAATTGTCTGAAGGCTTCCCAGCTTTACTGTAGTTCTTTTCCTGTTCCAAATGGCTGATATGCCTCTCCTAAGACTGACTTGCTGGTAGCAAGCAATTTAAGCTAAAATATGCTGGCATTTTTTGGAATTTTGACCCTACTACTTTTGCCTCTGGCCTCTCCCACAATTGGAACGTTTCCCCCAACAGCATCTTCAGCCATTGAGCTAAAACACCTGTTCTAAATGAAGATAAATGAGTGAGGAACGAGAAATACTTACCGCTTCCATTAGTCCCTTTACAGTGGGGGACTTTAACATCAAAGCATCGAACACTTCATCAGCCTCTTTCCTCACATATAGCAGCACTGGAAAGGGAAAAAATCAAATGCATAATAGAACTCAAACTGAAGTACTTCCCCCTGGACAGAAAATGATTCCCTTCAAACAAATGACAAGTGAAAAAAGCCAGATGAGTTAAAAATAAAACTATCTCACGTCATAGGACAGGAGGCACATCAGTTGATCTGGAAATACCTAAGAGGGAAATGGTATCCTTTTATTTCATTCTAGGAAGCAGTATATGAATCTCTCTATTGCTCATGCAGTGAATGTTTAAGTCAGTTCTGAATAGCAGTATTAATGTTCCATTGCAGTGGAGCAACAGGGATCTCCTACACCAATTAAACCAACCAATAAGTAGAACTAATTCCCTCTTCTTATCAAGCAACTTCAAGCAAATGTGCTTTCTCTTTCAACATCAGCCTTCTCTGAGGGTTAAGGGTGGTCAGCAGTGCTGGTAGGAGGGTTGTTTCTTCCATGCAAAGGTAGACTCTTCTTTACTATCTCCACTGTGAGGCTCCAACAGTGGCACAGTGTGACATTATATTCTCTGCCATGTGTGCGCTGCTGCTGTTTTTGGTACGATCATGAGCGTGCTGATTCAAGCTATCTGAAGGACCAGTTATCCAACCAAGAGGCTTGTGTGATTCGCCTGTTGCCGGATTGCAGGTCGGGGACCAAACATTCCAGTGCCTTTCCATGTCAGAAAACCAACCTCAATATTGAGGGACTCAATAGCAGTTTGCACAATTACAGTGAGGGAAATTAGCCGCAGTAACCTACTGCTCCCATGCATGTGCTGCTTGCCCAGTTGCTGACATGGCCTACGCTGATGTCCAAAATGGTTTGCGGCAGAGGGAGGGTGGCAACACTCAAACAATCCAACCGACCCTGCAAGTGAGTCATGCCACCCGGGTTGGATGTCACAGCAAGGCATGCCAGCTCGGGTACCTGGTTACATCCAGCCAGGATGTGGCCCAAACACAGTGAGGGTTAACAAGCCACCAGATTTATCTAAAGCAGGGGCAGGCAGAAAGGAACTCATGATCTCCTGGTAGATCTTCAGGTGATTTATAAGTGACCAGAAACGATCTGCAATTTCCAAATGTCAAACAACAGAGACACAAAGTGTTTCCTCATCCCTCTGACCCCACATCATGTAGCTGAAATCAAGAACGCTTGTGAAGGGACAGGGTGGTAATTCTAACCAAGAGTGGGGAATTACAGTGAGTTGTGCTCAGAATCCTTTAATGCTAAATGCATGTCTTTTCACCAGCCATTCCAAGCTGATGAACTTGGAATTCTAATAAAAAAAAACAACAACAACAAGCAAGTATATCCAGCAAGCCTGGAATATGCCAACTCCTGACATAAAGGGATATAACTGCTTTCATCTATTGCAGTACAGAAACATGGTGATTTTATCAGTCTGCAGAACCAGTACTATGTATATATATCCCTCCTTTCCTGCAAGGATAATGACGTACATGATGTTTTCCTTCTTTTAGCTTCACAACAACCCTGTGACATAACGGCCCCAGGTCAGCCAGCGAGGTCCATGACTGAGCAGAGATTTGAACATGGGTCTTCCTGACCCTCATCCAACTCTCTATCACACCAGGCCAGCTTCAAATAACTGCCCTTTCCATTAAAATAATGCTCTTCTCGAACAGCCTTCGCCTTCCAGATGTGTTGGATTATAACAGACATACTCCCCACCAGGCTGGGGAAGGTTGGGCTTGATCATGGCATCCCTCCTAACCTTGTCTCCATGCAGAAGTGTTATTCTGGTCCATTGCTTTCTCATTCTCCCTAATTACCTTTGAAATAATTCTGAATCAGAGGAAACATGGCACAGTGCCTGGGAATTAAAAGGTACCTCGTTTTGCTCCTTCTTCTTTTATTTGTTTCAATGGGGGTGGGGCAAAGTCATCCTCTACTGCCCGGAATATCCTTTTAGCCAAGATGCTACTGTAGAAGAGAAAAACAGAGAGAGTTGTGGTACTGAATCCAATGAAGTGTTAGCATGACACTGCCAGCCATGGGGAAAGGCCATACAATGATGGGGACCAAACCTCCGCACCTATCCAGTGGACCTCTAAGTTGGCTGCAAAGACGGCAGCAACAACACGCACATATATACCCCATCCTTCCTCTAGCTGAGAGCCAGAGTCTAGGTTCACACACCTGGGGAAGGAAAAGAAGCCATGACACCAGGCATGCCAGTCACCCCCCGCCTCATAGTTATACTTACCCATGCCTGGTACCAGTTGCTGGGTCTCCTGAACCCAGCAAGGCAGGTAGCAGGGGTGACTTTCAAACCACCCCAGAATCCTAGGACAAGCCATGAGTTGCAGGCTGGTTCAGAAAGCTCCCTGCCTTCCCCCTCATGAGCTTAGGAAGACACAGCAACCCACACTATGGGTAGGTAACTATGGAAGTGACATGGTCACAGGTAACACATTCAGGGCGGATAAAAGAAGCTTTTTTCTTCCCCAGCCGTGCACCCCTAGACTGTGCGTAGGACTGGGACTTATGACATCTGGATGTAGTTCTCACGCAGCCATGAAGGTTACTGGGAAACTTTGGTCCAGTTATTGATGCTCAACCTAATCTACCTCACAAAATCGTTGTGACAATAAAATAGAGAAGAGGGTTATGTAAAACCACTTTGGCCTCTTTGCAAGAACAGATAAGATATACAAGCTTTTTTTGAAAAAAATAAAAATCTCCCCCACACTTTACACATTATTCCTTTATTGAAGAATGTTTTTTAAAAGAAAACTCAAAGCCATCACAAATCAACAGGTAAATTCAAAACTCAAGATAAAATATTCAGCATTATAAAATACTAAACATTATTTAAAAAGAGAGAAAAACACTAACAGGATCTCTTGGGCTATTAATTATGAAGTAGGTGAATCCTTCTTTTCCTATTACCTAGATTTAACACTGGAGATGGGACAGGAGGAGGCTGGGACATCAAGGGAAACTGATGAAACCCCAGCCTCCTCCCCTTGCTGCTCTCTGGAGTACCCATTTTGATCCCATGGTCCCCTCCATGCTAGTTGCAAAAGAAGCAGGAGGAAGGGCTCAGCCTCAAGAGTCCCATCTCCAAGCTCCTGTGAAAAATCTTATGGCGCTCCAGAGATGCTAGGATTGGGAGGTGCTAGGATTATGCCTTTACAAGAAATCACCACCCTAGGTATCTAAGCTTCCATTTCATACACAGACATTTAAGAACAGTATCCTGCAGTCCAGGGGAAGGGTGAGCACAGCCCAAACAGAAATCTCAGGGTCCACTGATCTCCACAGTGCTTTTCAAAGACTAATAAAACAAACAATTCAAAATAAGCAAATACATATATTTTTCTTAATTTGCATAGTATACCGTATTTTTCGCTCTGTAAGACGCACTTTTTCCCCCTCAAAAGTAAGAGGAAATGTCTGTGCGTCATAGAGCGAATGTGTGTGTGTCCGACGCCTGGGGCACTGCCGGCCCGCCTGCACCACGTGGCACCACCTGGCCGGCACGCGCTGGGGGCGTGCTGCTCCACCCCCCCCCTCCGGCTTTAACCTGCTGGCCGCATGGAGAGACAGACTGCTCACCCCCACCGCCCGGGAAGACCTGCTGCGGAGGAGAAGGAGCCGCGGGCTTTAACCTGCCAGCCGCATGGAGAGACGGGCTGCTCACCCCCACCGCCTGGGAAGAGCTGCCACCGCCGCGCTGCCCAGAAGACCACCATCGGCATGCGCTCGGAGCGCCCTGCTCCGCCCCCCTCCTCCGGCACAGGTGAGAGCTGTTAATCACAGGTCGGTGTGTGTTTTCAAATGGCAACCCGTCTTTTAATGAAGCCCATGGGGAAGTGATGGGGAATGTGCCTGTGATTAACATGAAGCTTTCCATGGATCTCTGCTCTAAAAACTAGGTGCATCTTATGGTCAGGTGCGTCTTATAGAGCGAAAAATACGGTACATGGATCACCTTTGAAGGACAGACCCAAATTTCCCCCAGATACAGGGTTTAGGAAGGAGGCAGTTCAGCTCCCTGAAAGACAAGACTGTGCCAGTGCCTGTTTATATTCCTGCAACATGTGATAAAAAGGGAAGTTGTTTTTTCCTCGGGACTCCGCTTTGCCAAGACCAAATCCCACTTTTGTGGATAGCACCTTCACAAGTTACAGATTTTGGGTTACCTTACTGCAGACTTTTGTTGTTCCTCAGAAGCTTTCAGGTCTGAATTGCATACAACATTTGTGTGCACATAAAGGTATGATAAAATAACAACTTGCTTCTTTCACAAGAGGTGAGTAAAGAAACTTGCCTCTGCCAAGAGCAAAGTTAAACATTTGCCTGTAAATTGCATTAAGAGTGCAGTGGGGTTTGCTTTTTTGTTTTTTGTTTTTTTGCTTTTTTGTTAATTGATTAGATTCCTGGCTGCAAAACTTATAAGGCAATAAATGTCTTACCCTTCTCGCTCATCGTCTGTGTTATAGTAAACCTGTAACCATGAACAAAGAACAGTTTTATTGCTATGGTGTCATGAGGCGTTGCTGTACCAAAGAGCTAAGAAAACAGCCAGAGCTATTGCATGAGGCCTCCATTCTAGCTTCTGCTCTCCTGGACAGGAATCACCCGTTTCATTTCATCCAGTGTGGTTCATTTGGGACTAGTGCAGAGGAGTGCTCTCGCAGAGCATAACATTTCATACTTCAGGGCAGGGGTGGGTAACTTGTGACTGCCCAGATGTTTTGGCCTACCATTGGCATCATCCCTCACCATTGGCCATGCTGGCCAGGGCTGACAGAAATCCTACATCTGGAGGACCACAAGCCGCCTAATTCTGCTTTCGGCATTTTCTCCGTCATGTGCTGCACTCCAAGGTAGTAGAGCAGCAATGCAGCAGAACTGGGGAAATACATAAGCTGCTCACATTGTGAATTTAGGAAATAATACATTTTCTTGCTCTGACAAAGGCAATGGAAATAACTACAAACCACAGGAGTGGCCCTGGAGGACACCAACAATGTATACAGCTCCCACGGACTACTGCAAGTGAGGAATCATGAAAGCACAATAAACGCTTCATGCAAAGAAGTCCCGTGTCTTGCTCATTTCCCACCACACTGTGTGGCGGATCCCCAGCTCTGTGACTCTTCCTGTGTATGCTTAACTCTCCCACTGGACTAAGTGAAATAGAAAAGATGCTTTCATTATGAACTTAGCTTCCTACAGACTGCTAGTGCTGTACATTTGGACAACACTTCCCTCTGTAGAAGCATGGATGAAAAAGCCTGTAAGAGCCTCTACATGGCCTCGAGTCCTACCTGTCCAGCTCTTTGGAGGTTCCCAAAGTGAACATCTGGAATGAAGAGAACAGGCTGCGAGTCGAGGTCAGCCATTGTTTTGAAGTAGGTGATGTCACTCTTCTTCTGGAGAGGGACAGTGGCAAGTTTCCCTTCAGCTGATCATGAGAGAAAGGGGGCAAAGTCATTGGCTGGGAAAACAGGATCAAGTTATGCTGAATGCAATACAGACTGGAGGGAGGCCATAACTTCCTCACCGTTACTGCATGGGGGTTGCTGTAGCTGGCCTTTTGCTTTCTTTCTGTTTTGCTTTCTCTCTTCGTCTCGGATTTTCCTCTCAGCTCCCTGTCATGAGAAGCAAGGTTATGAAGATAAGTGAGTCTTCCGAGTGCTGTGCCTCCTTGTAGCAGGAACTAACAGTGCACAGAGGCGCTATGGCTCTTCCAAGTGGTGCAGTAGAATTTGCCTCTCTTAAAAGGCCAGCAATATCCAGGACTTAAGCTTTGCCTCTCCTGCTCAAAAATAAAATCCCATCTCTTTCAGGGTATTGAACCAGCCTATAACTTGGTATATTTTTAATCACTTGCAGTAGAAGAATCTAAACCATAGCTATGCTCTATCTACTACCTCTGGTTTCTTATACGAGGTCACACTAGTCTTATGTAGCTACCAGGGACTTTTGATGTAGGTGAGGAACCTTTTTTGTTAAATTACCTTTATGGATTATGATTGTGCTAGGACAGCATTTGTGGTGACCACCACAGATTTGTTTGGGCTCATCCTGCAGATGCAACTAAATGCTACTCTGAAAAGCAATGGAGGAGATGTCTGAGGCTTTCATTCACTAAGGAGCAAGCCACAGCTAGCAGCTACCCCCCCCCTCTCTCTCTCAACTATCTTTTCTCAACCTGGTACCCTCCATCACCTCCAGCCATGACCAATTGTCAGTGATATTGGGAAGTGTAAACTAAAATATCTGGGGGGGCAGTAGGGTGGTCAAAGCTGCTCTTAAGTAAGCCTAGAGGGGCCAATCTAAATCAGGATCCTACATGGTGGAGTAGCAGGGCTTTAACCCTTAGCTTGCCTAACCTAGTTCTAATCAAGATCAGGACCTCCATATCTGTAATTTTCCACTCCCACACACCCAAAAGGGCTCATCTAATCCAGCATCTTATTTTCAACACTGCTCCATGTTCCTTCCTTCACATGCATTTCCATGGGAAGAATGTTAAAATCCTTCAGTCTGCTCAGTTTAACAAGCCTTCAGGGCTGGATCCTCATCCAGATATAGTGGCTCAATTTTTTACTCAAAGGGAGGTGAACCAGAAGAAGCCATTCAGACAAAGAAAGAGGAAGACACAAACACAAAAGCTTTGGGAATAGTGTCACGTTTCATAGCTACTGTATGCATTAGTTTCATAGCTACCATATGTATTTATCAGATGGTACACCATTAAGCACATATGGGAAATAACAACAAACAGGAATATAAATTTAGAAAGAGTCCATTCTTTCAAGCCACTTGATCATGCTTGCTATACTAACGTATAACTGGGGGTGTCTGGTCCTTCACCAATTCTGCTTACAAAAGCACAATGGAATATATTAATACCAGCACAGGACTGGCCAAAACTCCAAGCCTGAAAACAGACATTTCAAAAAATACAGACTTGTCCTCTGAGACATTTAAGATCTAGCTCTGTTGACTTAGTGGGCTTAAGAGAAATTTTGCAGCCACTGCTCTATGATATGTAAATATATTACTAAGGGATTCCATGCCACTGTGTATACAATAAAGAGCAGAACACCTCAGCTGACATGACTAAACTGTAATTGAATGAAGAAATAGAAATTTAACCTCTTTGGTATTTTACAATACTCACTTGGAATGTTACCCAGTGCTACCTGGTCAATAAGGAAATTGCTTTGCTTTTGTAAGCCATCCAGAGGCTTTTAGTATTGGGACTGCATGTAAAAACTTTAAATAAATAAATACAGAAAGAGAGAATGACCAGGAAAAACAATGTATAAGGAAAGAGATGGGAGGGAGGGAGGGAGGGGGGGAGGGAAAGTAATAATCTTAATTTGTATAATGCTCCTTCTGTAAGTTCTCTAGGTGATTTACAATAATATGAATGCATGGACATCTAGCCCAGTATTGTCAACATTGACTGGCAGCAGCTTCCCAGGGGTTCAGGCAGGATTTTTCCTGCCCTAACTAGTGATCCCAGAATTTCAAGCTGGGACCTTCTTCATGTAAATCATGTGCTCTGTTGTAATATTTAAAACTATTTATTCTCCTGTGTTGTGGTTATACTGTTTCATATTGATTTTATGCTGTAGTTCATATTTACTGTGAACTGTATAGAGATTTATCATGTTATGATGAATACTCTTTAAAAAGACATACTTAAACTAACCACTTATGTTTTGCAAAGGCAATGCATCCTGGGGACACTGATCCAGAAAATAAAATCAGTAAGGTCTGATTTTGTACTGATGCCTTGATTTCATCAAAATTTAACCATCTCATAGAACAAGGGAAAGCTGCAGTCCGTCAAGGGTAATCTGTTAGGGGCTCAATAAGAGTAATTGTAACATAATGTATTTCTACCATAAGCCACCCAGACAGTTTTATGGCTATAGGTGGAGCATACAAAAGCAACAAATAAGAGGCATGTATGAGGCCAAAGCAAAACGTAGGTGCCCCCCTGGCATCCCTACTCCCTCTCCCCCCCTCCTCTTTTTGCCGTCTCTTATCTCCTTCTCATTTCATACCTAGCAGGCTGCCAAGGAAGGAACAGATCACTTTTGTCAGAAGCTGACTGCTTGCAGAAGGCGTCTGAAATTATGCCAACTGCATGCCTTCCAGTTATGATTCTGTGGTGGAAGGGTGCCATGCAGGGGGTCACTCATCACGCACATCATCCAAGGGCCATCAAACCCAGGTATATGTGATGGACACCAATTTGGAGGCCTACAAATGGGCAAAATCATGCAGGCAAAAGCTGTCAGGGGCTACTATTCCTGATGGCCGCATGGTACCTCCTGCAGCACAGGCACAGTGTCTATATGCACCAGCTGCTCCATCACGAGTGGGAAGGTGATGCTGGACTTGGGAGTTTCCCATGGGCAGCTGGTTGGCCACCATGCGAACAGAATGCGGGACAAAGCAGATGCTTGGTGCAATCCAGTATGGCTCTTCTGACATTTGCTTGCAATAGCACAAGCTGACCACGTATGAGACCCAACACTAGCAGTATTCAGCTTTAAATAAACCTTTTTGTTCACCACCATAGACTGCAATAAAGATCTTAGATGCCCATCACAGTGCAATGATGATCTCCCAGCTTGATGCTGAAGTCTCTTTAAATGGCTATACAATTGCAGCTTGCATCACAGTGTCTAGTACTTTGTGTCACTATTTAAGTTGATGCCAGGTTGGTGAATAAATAAGCTATCCTTTCCGCAAGATTTTATTCTTATTATGGGCAGAAACTGGGGCATAAGCTGATGGAAAGCCATGTGAAGATCTTATGGATTTAAGATGCTAATGCAGTGGGGGTCACAATGCGCTTCTACACGGCAAAGGTTTCTTCCTGCTGCGTTTCAAAAGGCTGAACCTTTGAATGTTAATATTTGTTAAGCTGTGTTAGTCATCTGAGCATTATCTTAATCATGCCAGCCTCCAGCAGGGTAACGCTGGAAATAATTCTTGCTGGCATCTCATAAGCACATATGCTACTCACAGCAGGTCTTCTGTCCTCCTTCTTTGACTTACTATCACCTGATTGCTCTGCACCAGGGCTTTAAGCCGGTATTTGTACCAGGCATATAACAATTAAATATATTTCTATTCAGAGGGCTTTTCTGCTTTATGGTCCTTTCTTTGAAGGTATCCGTTATTTGTCCTGTCCATGTCTGGTGTGAAAATAAATAATCCCAAGAACTAGGGAGAAGCAGGGGCCCTGACCCTGTCCATCACTGGTTTGTAACTGGAGCGTAGACCTGATACAGGTAACCTGGGCACAGTATTCCCACTATGGTGAGATGCAATGTGGAGGTGGAAGAACTGGCAGCTAAAACCGGACTCCCATTGGAGACTACAACCTGGGCAGCTACTCTAGAGGAAGAAAAAGGAACAAGGAAATGTAGGAGGGAGCTAGTGATTGTCATGTGTCATGTGAGCTTCAGTGACATTCATGAGAGCTGCAGTCCAACACAGCTGGTTTACGGAAAACTGTACTGTCTCGCCACCAAGCTGTGAGAAGTAGCCTCTGGATGGAAGCATATTCTATGCTCTTTTGCTCCAAAATGCTATGCTCGTTTGCATTCTTTCAAACTCTTCTCCTAGAGCTTTGTTTCCAGTTCCCTGATCATCTTTGTTATACTCCTCTGAACTTTTTCCAACTTATCTTCTCCTTTCTTGAAGCGTAGTGCCCAGAAATGGTTACAATCCTCAAGATGGGACCCAAGTAATTGAGGGGAACCAGGTACCACCCTCCGTCCCTCTTTCTTTTTTTAGTTGGAATTTCCTGAAAAGGGTGCATTGAAAGATTCCTCCCAGCTCCGCCCTTCTGGAGCTCAGTTCTCCCAGTCCAATGAGTCTCTGTGCTAATGCACATTTGCTTAAAAAGTAACACGCTTGGCTTCACCATGTGTGGTGCTGAGAATGATTAGTGTGGTCCACAGGCAGCCCAGATGAAACAGGTTGAGAGGCATGTAGGCCAGTCATGTCAAGCCTGAGGAGGCTTTGGAAATAGATATTTGAGGAATATCCCAAGTTTGAGAGGTCTTGTAGCAAAAACTTCTCTTATGAACAGAGTGTGAGAGAGTGCTCTTTGGCCAGTGCATGAGAGAGGCTACAGGATGATTTGCACACTTCCATATGTATGCAAATTCCACTTGCGATATGCAGCCAGCAATCAAAAGTAAAATATTTTTGCCCTAGCCAGCTGGCACTACATCACTGCACTACAGGTTCCTGTCTGGTAGGCAGAACCATTATAGCCTGAAGGGGAAACTGTTTTTAATAGTGTATTTAAGTGTGATTCCTAATATTTGTATGTGAACAGTCTAGAGTTTATATTATATTAACTGGTATATTAATATTGTAAATAAATAAATAGATAGATAGATAGATAGATAGATAGATAGATAGATAGGGACTTAGATTGGAAAATGCTCTTCTACACAGGCCAGAAGGGTGAGGGGCTGCCACTGAGGTCAGTGAGACTACTCTTGACTAAATGTGCATAATTGCATCCTTCTGTTAAAGCAGAAATACAGGATCTCAGCCTCATAGGAGGACATTGTCTTCCCCCTCCTTCCCCAACCATGATTACTTAGTGGTTTCTTGGACTTTGTGTAATTATTGTCCCATTCTAAGAAACCAAAATACCATTCCTGAGGCTTAGCTACTGGCACTGAAAACTTTCAGCTAAAATATGCTTGCATTCGGAGGTTTTGGTCCTGTCTGGACTATCACTGCAATGCAGCCTCCAAGAATTTCTCTGAATTTGACCCTAGAATTTGACCCTTGCAATGAAAGAAATTTTGTACCCCATGTTAAAGCCAACCCTAGGAACGGGGTTCTGTGTGTGTGATTCCTTCTTCACCATCTGTGTACATCATGAGAGCACGAGCCAAGGCAGCTATTGTATTGCAAACTGAACAGAGATGAAATGTTGCAGTAGTTTTAAGAATAGTATATAATTGCTTTTTTAAAAGGTCAGGTTAAGTGACACAAGCATGCCACCCCCTCCAGTAATTCTAGCCTGCTCCCTGTAATAGATTCATGTTAAATTGACTTGGTGTTATGGCTGATGTTTCCTTGACAATCTACTTAATGTTATTTAAGGCATTAAAAATCTGAACATTTTATTGCAATAAAGAATAACTTTTCCCCAGCAGGTGAAAGCGTGGAAAGAACAGCTGGATTAATGAGGAGAGGAAGCAGTTCTTGGTATTAGGCTGGCAGAAACCTAATGCAGGAGAGCTGATTGCATCCTCTAAGTCAAAAGCAGAGCTGCACCTGAGATGGGCTTACTCTTGAAGCTTCAGCTGGTGCAAAATGCTGCAAAACCAATTCCTGTTTCATATCAACACACTGGAATCTGTGTTCACATTCATTTGCCATCTGCACTGGATGTGGGAGCACTTATGAGCCCAATCCTCTGGACAGTTCTTGTTGGCCTAGGATCTATGTATTTTAGAGCTTTTCTCTCCTGTACTAAACCTCTGCTTTCTTTACTCAACTTTATTTATTTCAGCTATTCATGTTATGCAACAGTTTGTAGCTAAAATGCAGGGACTTGGCAGTCATGGCCCCAAGTTTATGGAACAATCTCTGACCAGATTTGAGGAATTGTTCCCCTTTCCTTGAATTGCAAAAGGGATTTGGGAATTCCTTCTTTTGAAAGGATTTTCTTCTTTTTAAAAAATGCTTTCATTCATTTTTGTTCATTCTGTATCACTGTAATTTTATCACGAATTGTTCCTCTCCCCACTAGAAGCTGCTGGACCTTACTCAGCCTCACCCAACTTGATACCTTCCAGATGTTTGGGGTTACAACTCGATCAGCAAGGTCAAGAGTCAGAGATTATAGGACTTGTAGTCCAAAAACATATGGAAGGAAATTGGTTGTGGGAGGTTATCTTAAATTAAACAAAACAAGCAGGTGAACAAATAAATAACTTACCATCCCCACCAACTGTCAACGAGGGACTACATATGCCAATTTCCAGCTTCTCAATCCATTTTACCTATTTATCAAAACAGAGTGTACTCTTCTACTTATACCAGTAGATGGCACAAGCAACCTTATGGAGGTAAAACAGGTGTATGAATTGAGAACCAGTGAGCAAGGAGGCGGTGGCATCAGCTTGCCCTCCTCCTCACCACCACATTCACCTGGGCAGGAGGCAGAGACAAGTGAACAAGCAGGTTGCAAAGCTGACAAGGAGCAGCAAGTCCTGGGGTTGTTTTAAATGGGCCCCTGGTAGAACGTGAGCCCTTGGCAGAGGTTCAGTCAGGCCTTCCTTTAATGGTCTCTAGTGATCACTATCCCGGCTGAATATTGATAGGTAGGATGGGCCATGGCAGTCTTCTTCAAGCTGGAGTCTTTTAGATGTTTTGGACTATACCTCCCATCATCCCCAGACAGTTAGGGACTATACCTCTCACCATCCTGAGACAGTTAAGGACAATGTGAGCTGTAGTCCAACACATCTGGTGCCTCAGCTATGGAAATTACAAAAGTCTAGTCTGTAGAACTTGTCTCAGGTAGAAACAATTCCTGACCACATCCTGCCTCAGGCCAGCCTTAGTATGAGTGATTGTATATCCTATTTTTAAGCCTCCCTGAGCCATCCATACTCCAAGTGTGATAAGGGTAACATTTTAACTACCCTTGTGCTCTTTTCTCCCACTTTTAAGATGTTTTTGATTAGATCTGTCAACATTCATTTCCTGCTCCCCAACCATGAAATGTGAAGTATCAATTAAACGGATAGATAGTCAACGTGATGAATATTTATAATTCAAAGGCTCAGTTCCTTGTCATCTATAGGTCACCCTTGATGAGGCTCAGGCTGTTGAGCTCCTTCCCTCCTTTCCCCTCATTACTTTTCAAAAACTGGCAAGCTTGGGTGGGGAAGGGCTGTATTCATTCCTTTGAAATTTACTGAGCTTTTAACAGGCAGCTGTATCTTCAGATCTCTGCAAATATTTGACCTAAAAAATTACCATTAAAATACAGCACTTCAGCTTCATCACTTGAAATATACATTGCAAGTGGCTAATCATAGATGGTATTTCTTTCCACATCTCCCCTATCTCTTGGATTGTCCCTCAGTAGAGAGACATCCAAGAGGTGAGGTAGGAGTCCGGAGACCCCCTCACCTGTGACTCCCATTGCTTTACTAGTCCTCCCATACCCCCCATCAGCATCTTATGAGCTCACTGTCGCTTAGCAACCAGGATGGGGTATTTTCTTGTCTCTGGATGTAGTAAAATGGCTGTGCTGGGATGCAGAGGTGGCATCTGTTTGCAACATGGTTTCTGCAAGGCTTGGTGGAAGTGCCCAGATGAATAAAATGGATCTTCTAAGCTGACCTTGACTAAAGAGTGTCCTGGTTCACATATACCAGTGGTCCCGGAACTTCTGGGACATGGGGGCTGCATTAGGGTGTCCAATCCCTGAAGAGGGTCACGTGCTAAATCAAAACGTAACAAAACTATTAACCTATCAATTTAGATCAAAAGTAAACATTCAGAGGTGCTGGATGGGGTCACTGGAGAGGCAGGTGTGGGGTAGGGTATACTCCGGGGAAAGGTGGAGGACAGGAGAACCTGGAGGAATGTTGTCCATGGGGTCGCAGAGAGTTGGGCACAACTTTGCAACTGAACAACAAACATTCAGAGGTCAATGAAGAAATGTGAACTTGAATGCAGCCCATATCAGAACAATATTTTACTGGGGAAGCCTTTTATCTAGCTGCACGTGCTTCCCTAGTCAGTTTGCTTTCTGTGGCGGTTTTCTGTTAGCCAGGGCATTAATGTCCAAGTCAAGGTTTGTGACAGACACCCCTAACATTTCAAGGAATTGTAAGTCTTGATCTGAACTTGGATTTCACACTTTTCATCTTGGAAAAAGTTTGTTCACAGATGTACGTGGTGCCAAAGACTGTGAACATTCCTACAGAAAATTTCTTTAGGACCTAAAGAGTCTGACAGAAGGAACAATGGTGCTGTTGCATTTTTTGTAAGAAAGGAGCAGGAGAAGCAGCAGTAGATGGTGCCACTTGAGGCAGGAAGAACAGTGTGGCTCTGAGGGAAAATGCCTTGAGGGTGATAGCAGTAAACAAGCAGGTTGGAGGGCTGCACAAAAGGTGCTCAGGGGCCACATGTGGCCCATGGTGGGGGACCCCTGACATATACTGCTAACCCATGGTATGAATTGTTGAATTCTAGGTTGTCTTGATGTGTAATTCTGTTCATTTTTTAAAAAAAACCTATTATTTTTTTAACCATGAACAACCCAGAAAGAGAACCTATGGTTTACTGTTTGGTTGTCAATTCCAATTTGTCAGGGGTAGATGTCACACTATAATGAATTAAATGGAATCAAATTTCATGTACAAAGATCAAAGAATGCCTCCCTTTCCACACATGGTTCTAGTAATTCTGATCATAATAGTATACATGTTACTGAGCAAGAGAGGCAAACACATCATCAACATAACCACAAATTATAAGTACTTCCTTTAAAATCTCTCTTACCTGCACTTTTTCTTTCTTCTACTTGACACCATCTCATTCATTTTGGTTATCAGGTATATATCACCAATCCTATTTTCAAATTTGGGATTTTTTGTGTGTGACTATACTCTGCCCATTCAATTAGCCAAAACTTGCAATTGGAACTCATTGCTTATTTTTGCACAACACCCCAGTTCCCCTTGAATGTGCTTTAAAAATAAGCACCTATTCTCCTTTGTTTTCCCAGATGCTTTCCTTTTTTGGTATTCTCTCTTTATAGTCATTCAGACCAACCTTTGCCAAGATGGCACCCTCCAGATGCACTGGACTGCAATCTCCAGAATCCTCAGCCAAAATGGCCGGTGGGCTGAGCCTTGCAGTCCAACATGTCTGCAGGACACCAAGTTGGTAAAGGCTGAATTAGGCTGTAAGTCTGTAGCCAGAGTCTTATTCTTAATTTTCTTCCTACCAGGAGATGACATCCATTGTGCAGCAAATAACTGATTAAATCAAATTGCATGGAACCAATAGCTTGGTATTTCAAATCCCAAAAGGTGCAAACAGGGCTCATTTCTGTTACCTCATTCCTATATTTGTCAGTCATTTGGGGGTGTGGGGCTTACTTCCTCTGGTAACAGCAGAGCTGGTGATGGTAAGGGCTTCTGGACAGCCTCCATTTCATCTTTCCAGAATTCCCTGGGAGTTGTGTCATTCTGCGACATCTACCCCCCCCCCCCGACCCCACTCCTGCCCTGCCCCACAAGAATGCCTGTTGCTCCTGGGACAGATATCTTACCTTGTCACAGAAAACCTTGATTTGGCAGAAGGCACGATGGATGGGTTTATTGCTGCGATTATTGTAACTGTATGTGTCAATCTGAATCATCAAAGGAAGACCTTTTACTCCTTTTTGAGACGAGAAGTCCGTGCTCAAGCAGTTCACTGTGATGAAAATCTGATGGGGAAAGCAAGGAAGAAAGACAGAAGCTGAGCTGGTACTGGGATGTTTTTTCTCAAGTAACATCTATTAGTGCGACTGCTCGTTAATATTCAAACTTCCTTCTGCAGCAACCCTTTCAGGGTGGGAGGAGTGGAAGAAGTTCTCTTCAACTCCATCTCCATCCTCCCACCATCCATTTTCACTAGATGGGCTTTTTCGCCTGTCTAGTTGAAAGTATCAGGGTGGGAGGAAAAAAGGCTGAAGTGACTTCAGGATATCTCATGTCATGGCCACTCCAATCTACTTCCTTCCCTAACTTTCAAAATGCCCCCTTTAATCCCATTCCAAAATCATTTTCCCATACTTGAAAAACATCTGGCACCATTCTCTCTATGCTATCTGCAAGGGGACAGGAGAGGGGAAACAAAGCTCAGATTTCGGCCCCAAGGTGAGAGAACGGTTTCCAAGCTTAGATCTGTGAATCTGAAATACACTGTGACCCCTCAGACAATGTGAAGAGAGCACAGGCTCATTCTTTCCCTTAATCAGTGCTTAATTTAGCATTTTCAACAGCAAATCCAATCTCAAAACAAGACAGAATAGCTTATCCACCCCAACTAAAGCAACTGTTACACACGATCCATTATGATCAATACAATAAAATAACAAGACCCTTGCAATAGTTCATGCAAATCGGTAAGTGAAATTTAGCTCCTGCCTCCTCTGCAACTATTTCTTGGCCTTCGTGGTTCAGGAAGAATTGCTAGATTACAATGTCATGGGAAGAGCAGTCACCATTAGTCCGTAACCTGGACCTGCAAAAATGGTCTTGGGATTTGTGTGAGGCTTTAATCCCAAACAGACCACCTTCTTTCCCTCACTAAAGCTGAACTGCAAACATTTGGACAGTTGTGTCCCCTAAACAGCTGGGAAGACTGAGCCAACTCAGCCAATGTCAGAGGCTTCACTGATACAAGTGCTATACAAAATACATGTAGACATTTCTTTTCCATTCCATTTATTTAAACAATTTCTGAGTTTGTTCCTGCATCAGTCTGAGCTGATTTGCAATATAATCTAAAACTTTTAAAATTAAAAAGCCACATTTCTTTTATCAACAACCATAATGATTATTAATTGATTCATATAGTTCCCAAGACTGAAGACAGTAATAAAAACACACAAAAAGTGGAGGAATTCTTCAAAGTTTACTTTAAAAAGCGGGTTTTACCAAGCTTACTAAAATCTAGGCAGCTGGACTCATTGATTTGACATGAAAGGCTTTTAATTGGAGAAACTTCCCTTGGGGCCACCATAGAAAAGAACCAACTCCTTCCTGCTGAGAAACTAAGTTCTTTACTGGAAGGAGGCAGAGAAGAAATATCAGTGTCCAAGGGCCTCCCCAGGGCACTATCTTCACCTTTGACCAGCATGCCCTATAGTAAAGATGATGGGAGGTGTAGGTCAAAACATCTGGAAGGCCACCAATTGCCCATCCCTGCCTTTGATACTTGAGAAGGACTCCAGCCACTGAGACAAACTAGTTCTCTTTGAACTCCCCAGTTGGGAAGGGCCTTGCCTTTGCACACTTCAACTCTTTAGGCAGGGCTGGGAAGGACTCCTGCCCAAATCCTTGGAGAGCCATTCCCAGCCCATGTAGGCAATACAGAGCTAAGCAGACCGCTCTCCTGACTCAGTGCAAGACAACTTCAGGAAAAAAGATGAAAGTGTGGGTGGGATGGGGAAGAAAAAGCAAGGAAAATGGGCTGAAGAGAAAGAAGTTGGGCTGATACACTACAGAGAGGCAAGGGCTAATGTGTCTTGCATGGAGAATTTAGCCGTGTATATCTGATTACAGAAGTTGATATTACTGTCCAGTATTTCTTGGTGGAGTCGGCTCGGCTTGTTTGCTTGACTGAGCTAATAGCACCACGGCATTTCTGTCCTTGATGGTATCACAGTGCTGTGCTTACAAACAACCCAAGTTGTACTTTAACTGATGAGAGGCGAGGGGCTGGGAGAAATCCACTTTACTCAGATTTGGAAGTGGATCACATTCCCCATCTTAGCCAAAGACCCATCCAGGCATCCCTGTATGTAGTGATATAGTGGAACCTGGGGCTTGTGGGTTGGCAGGCCATGACTTCTTCTGATTAGGAGGGCACTGGTAACATCAGCTGACCCCCTCCTCAGGCTTCCCAGCTTACTCTGAGTTTAGGTGCAAGCCTCACAGCAGTTGGAGGCAGGGGAGAGAAAGGATTTTCCAAGCAACTATCTATTATTGGAAATGACCACCGCTGTGATAAGCTGCCTTTGTCTCCAATGGGCAGCATCAGCTTTACTTAAAATCCACTGCTCATGGAGATGAAGACTACCAGAACTCATCTGCTGATAGCCACAATGCAGCTGCGGGATTTTTTGCCTGTCCTTGAAAAGGTCCCCTTAGACCACTGTCCAACACTCAGGGCTTATCTATGAAGGAGGCAGCAGAACTGAGCGACTGGCTCTGTCCCCATGTCCTCCACAGCACTAGCCCTGGGGTATTTGCAGAGGGGAAAGCCCATGTGGTGTGGTTAGTGTTGACTGGGGACCCAGGAGATCTAGTTCGCCCTTGGCTGTGAAGCTCACTGGGTGACTCTGGACCAGTCATTGATGCTCAGTCTGCCCAACCTAACAGGGTTGTTGCTGCTAGGATAAAATTGAGCTATGCAAGCTTTCCTCACAAGAGGAAAAAAGGCAGGATATAAATGCAGTTGGAGCAGCAGCAGCAGCAGGTGGGCAGCTTCCAGAGGATCGAAACTCTATGCAGGGATCCAGCAGGTGTGGCCAGTGTTGCTCTCGTGGTAAAGCCAGCTGAGCACTTCTGCCGCCCCTTTCTTCATAAGGAGGCTATACTGATAAACTGCACTGCACACTGATTTCCTAGTGCTATACACATTCTCTGTCAATGGATGTAAATGAAATTTATAGTTCCTTTTGCATTGCTGAGAAGGGAGAGTCATCTCATTGGTTCCTCTCCAAATGAGCATCAGAAACGGAAACTTGATACATTTGAAGGGAGCCCTGCCCCCCCCCCCCCATTGAGAGTGTGTCTCCTATGGAGGGCAAAATGGCTCTCCTTCACCGTGATGACATATCATTAGCGACATTAGATTTCTTTAACCTTAGAGTTGCCACGATGTAAATACTGGGAGGATGGGAGTGGGGAAGGTGATAGTGGATTTCCATTATTGAAATAGTTCAGTATGTCCTTCCAAAACCTAATGAGGATCAGTGTTACGGATTGCACAGAAATGACTGCTATGAATGGCAGAGGCCAGAATTCAAATCCCTATTCACCTAAAATACTTCCTGGGAAGTTTTAGACAATACACTCACTTGTAAGTGAAACTAACTCACACAATTGCGGTATCTTGCATGAAACCTTCATGTAATTGCCTTGAGTTTGGGAAAAATGGCATACAAAAGGTTAACAGTACAATATTACATAATCTTACTCAAAATGTTCAAAAGGTCTTATTTTAAATAGTAACATGGGGAAGGTATGTTCAGTTTGCCTTAATTTCAAACTACCATGTGAACCAAAACTCAGTTATCCTTCAAAATTCACACATTCCTGAATTTTGCAGTAGAGTTCTACAATTAAAAAATGTATACCAAAAAGTGGGTACATTAGGGAACATAACATTAACTTGCACTAAAACAGAAAAACAAAAATGGATTGAAGAGCCATGCATTAAAACAAAGATGCTTATCTTTTCATGAGAATTTGAAATACACTCAAGATCAGTGAAATTCTCAAAATTCAAGGCTAACCAAATTTAAGATGGGAAAAACAAGAAAGGGAGATTTGTTCATTCCATCTTCCAGGTACTTTAATGTAGGACTTTAGGCTACATTAATAAATTCAGTTGCAGCAGCATTATCTTGATGGAGATGGAGAGAAATGGATTGATGATAAGGTAATCAGTCTAACAGATGTTTATAAGACTAGATATTTTTCTCCTGTCATTGTAATGTACATCAAACCTTTTGAACAATCAATAATTGTACATTCATGGTGCGCAGATGAGAACACACACACACACACACACAAAGGCAAAACACTGTCAAACAGATTTTAATGGTGTGTACTACACAGGGAGAGAATGGAATTAGAATTATGGAAGATCAATGATTTTTGCAAAGATTTTATGCCTCAGTACAATATTCTATTAGCCTCCTTTAGAAACAGCAGGGGAAGGGATTTAAACAAGAAAGGCAATTTACACATATGTGAAGCCAAAGCAATAGAACGTCCTGAATCTATTTTCAGTTTTCATTTAGCTTCATTGTTAAGATGATATTAACACTCCATTACACTTGTTTCTGAAAGAGGATCGGCTCATCATCAATTACTTGGATGTTCAGGAGGCTTTTCAGGGTTGTTCTGGGATGCATCATTTATTTTCATTGGGCTTTTTTAAACTTCAGCAATCTGCTCTAGTTAAAGAGGCACATTTATGCCACAATGATCGATGCCCCAGAAGGGGAGCACCTGGTGGGAAGGTAGCAGAGATCAGAACAAATAGACATCGCACAAGTCTCCTGCCTCACCATCCTATGTATGCTTTTCCCAACTCAGTGCCTATCATTATTCCACTTAACTTTGCACTGGTGAGACCTCAGCGAAAACAGTGTCCAATTCTGGACAACACACTTTTGGAAGGATTCAGGGAAACTGGGACAAGTTTTGAAAAGGGCAGCAGAAATAATCAGGGGAATAGAAACTAAGCCCTGTGGAGTAAGACTGAAAGAGTTTGATACATTAGCCTTGAGAAGACTGAAGGGGGATGTAGCCAATTTAAAGCACCTAAATGGCAGAAGATGGCCACAATCTGATCACAGAATCATAGAATAGTAGAGTTGGAAGGGGCCATGAAGGCCATCAGGTCCAACCACCTGCTGTCCACTGTCCAAGGCAACAGCATGCAAAAGATAACAGGCTCAAGTTATGAGAAGGCTGATTTCAGCTG